AAAACTCGCGGGCATTGGTTTCATTAGACACATGGTGAAAAACACTATCATCCACCCATTGTCTAATTGTGCCAATTGCCTTGTGATTCATCTTCTTCCACTCGGCATCGGACATGCTCTCGAGCTTAGCAGCATCTCCTTCAATTGGCTCATGCAGATCCTTGCAATAGAGAATGTCCTCCATCCATGGCTTCCATGTTACCCAATTGGAATTGGTGAGTTTGATCATAGTGCCACTTCCTTCCATCTCGTAGTACAAGCCAACCGGGCTCTGATACCACTCGTTAGGAATGTCGATACTACAAGATAGAGAATGCACAAGGTAAAGTAGAAAATGGACACCAAGAATTTATGTGGTTCGGCAATTTATGCCTACGTCCACGAAACAAGGATCAATCTTCACTATATGAAAATGATGAGTACAACAAGAGTAGTCTTACCAAGCCAAAGACAAGGCTTGATGGATACAAGAAAGTATGACACACACTTTCTATCACTCTAAACTTCACTCACAATGTGTAGTGGAACACTCTCACTCTCACTCTTGGAGTGGAACTCTAGCTTTGGACTTGATCCTTTGCTACTTACACTTGGTTCTTAATTGGTTACATCACTACAACATCACACCCATATTTATAGGTGAGGGCTTGGCATTCTACTAGTTTCTAGTTCCTTCTACAAATTAGAACTAGTTTCTAGTTTCTAGTATATTCTTCAAACCTCTAGCATAGATAGTTCTAAACTAGCCACAAAGTTGTAGCTTCTAGATCTTTCCATTTGCAACCAAGGAAGCTAGTACTCTCTAGCTTCTTCCATCAACTTAATAACATGTTAGAATTGTCTAGCATGCTCCAGCCACCTCACTTGATTACTAGAATAATCTAGAACATTCATCATGGGCTAGACCATATACCAACAGCTATTTCTTGGAAGAGTTCGAAAAAAAAATTTCATTACATCCTCAACTATGGAAGCCGAGTTTATTGATTGCTACTCAGCCACCAAGCAAGCTGGTTGGATTACAAACATAATGAAGGGCTTGACAGTTGTAGACAACATGAAAGACCACTGAATGTGTACTGTGACAACAAGGCTGAAATGTTCTTTTCTAAGAACAACAAGAGGTCACCGGCATGTAGACTTATGGATATCAAGTGTTTGAAAGTAAGAGATGAGGTGAGGAAAAGGACAATCGATATCCAGCACCTAAGTAAAAAATTGATGGTAGCAGATCCGACTAGAAAAGCTTTACCAGTGGGTGTCTTTAAGAGACATGTTTTCAGAAAGGGAATAAGGGAGACATTTGATTTAGTTAATGGGTGGGAGTAAGCACTTGTTTATCTTCTTGAAATTGAAAGGTTGAAGTGTTGCTTTATCAGTCAAGTTGGATTGTTATAAATTGATTCGTGCATTGATCTATATTTTCATATATATAAATATGTGAAGCTACATTGACAAAAATCTAGTACTGATGTATAATCAGTTTGTTTTAGGGAACTGATATTTCGATTATCAGTTCTACTCATCATGGCTTTGTTAATAACATAGTATTTTGAGATCAATGTGAATGGCAATGAGGTTTTATGAGTTTACTTGGAAATTCAAGTAACTTGGTACTCAAGTTATTTGATTTACAAGGGATCTCGGTGCCTAGTCAAATAAGGATTATGGAGTTTTAATTATATGCAACTAATAAGGACCCTTATAAAGTAACTACAAAGATTTAGACTCATGAAGGGACTCTAATTGATTTGATAGAGTTTGAGTTTATATCCATTCCAATAATAGGCTGGAATTGATTGAAACCCTAACTATATAAATAAGGAGAAGTCCCTGCGTCCATACTACCGTATTCTCATATATACTACTGCCCTATTTTGATAGTAGAGATCATCAAGAGTATTGGAAGTAGAAGACCACTTCAGTTTGTGTTCAAGAATGGTCGTGCCTGCAGTTAGCCTTCTTGTTATTCATGCAAGCATGCTTAGACGTAACAATCTTGTAGCATCATTATATGTGGCCCTAGGTTCATGTTGATACATTATGTGGAACTCTTACATCCTATACGTTTGGCATACGGATTTTTCCTCAGAGGTTAGTTTCTATTCTGTCTTTTGTTAAAAGTTCTGTTACTCATTTCCTTTGATGCTCAAAAAGTAAAATTTGAATGTTTCGACCCTTCCAAACTTTTTGGCACGAATTTTGCTTTATCCGCACTCGACACAACAAGAATTTTAGAATGCTTTGCCATGTTCTTCCGGAAAGAGGTTTGCTGCCTCTCATTCTCCATCATCTCCACTTTCAAAGCCATGTTAATATCCTCTTGAAAACTCCACAGATTCTGTAGCCCAATCTTTTCTTGAATGGAGGGTTGCAGTCCATTCACATACACCGCAACCTTCTGATTTTCTATCTCCGTCGGATGGTTTTGCTCAATTAGTCGCATGAAATCATTCGAATAATCTGTCACGCTTCTATAGCCTTGGACACAGCTGATGTACATACGGTACAAAAGTTGTTTCCTAATCCGTAGGTAAGAATCGATCCATCAAGAGCTACTTCATTTTCCACGTGTGAATTTGTTTATTTCTTTGCTTCTGTCAGGTGTTATGTAATTGATCCCACCAAACAATGATAGTTGCTTTGAGACAGAAGGCAACCATCGTCACCATCTTTGTCTCGAGGACCTCCATGACGTCAAAGAATCTCTCTACCTCCACAAACCAATCCAGGAAGTCTACGATTGTCGGTCCCTGCAAAAGTTGGAATGTCTGCCTTAATCCAAAATCATCAAAGTTGTTACAGTTTTGATGATTTGGATTGTTAAACTGGGGTGGAACTCCTTGATTATTACCTCATGCAGATCTTCGGTTATTTGGACCGAGGGCTTGAAGCAACATCTTGCAAAAATCTTTGAATTGCGCAGTGAAATTTGCAATCTGTTCAGTTTGAGCATCCAGGTCCGCTCGAGTGATAGGGGTAGATTCACAATCACGATCACCCATGGATAGATAGGACAGTCAATGATGCCAAAACGAGAGAAGCCTACTCTGGTACCAATTGACATAGCATGAAGCGATCAAAAGGTTACCAATGTAATCCCTTGTGGAATAAAGTTTGGAATCTAACAGAAAATTGAGAGAAATCTCAAAGGTTGTATTTGATAATTCTTGAATGATTGTCATTGATACATCTAGATGACTTGAATAAAGACTACAAACGTTTGGAACAACTCAACTGACTTCTAAGAATTAAAACAACATTAATCAGATGACAAACGAAGAATCCAATTTTTATTATGAAACTTTAAACATTAATTTTTATTATGAAACTTTAAACATTATTTTGAAGGCTGAAACAACTCATGATGGCCAAAATCTATCGTATGTCACATCAAAGTGGTGTGTTGGGTTTGTGGCGTCGTTCTGATTCTGAAAAGGTATCACAGGCCCAAATCAGAGCTCGGACATAAAATTAAGAAATTCTCAGTGTCTTTTTGTCTTCATACGATCTATTTCCCCTTCGATCCATTCTGTTACATCATAAGATAGACTGTTTTCTAGCAAAACCTGCACAGTCGCAAAATGTAGACAATCTTTTTCTATTTTTTTTTCTTCTGACAAATAGAGATGTGGCGGGACCCTTTTTTGTTGTTACATCCTGCTGTTTTCTCTTAACTTGGTGCTGCTTTCTATCAAGTGCTGCTCTTTGAAGATATGCTAGATTACTAGTATTGGAACTTAAACCTTGCAGTCTTGGAGAAACACAATGATATGATCTAGATCGTGGTGTTTGTTTGGATATAAGTAGTTAAAGATTTGATTATCTCCTAATACGCACATAGTTTTAAAAGCAATCAAACAAAGAAAAATTATGTCCATGAGTTCTACCACAATGCTAGTGTGGTCCAGTAGAGATTAAGTACTAATAGAATGTAAAGTTTTAATTTTTACTATTAAGTGGTCTGAAAAATCAACAATTAAATTTTGCATATAGGAATTTAATGAATTTTGATAACGATTAAATTAAATTTGCATAAAACCCGTATTCAATCCCTTAAATTTAAATGCTATCATAATATCTTACTATCTTATAATAGTATTTTCCGATGAAAGCAATATTTGGATTGAAAGCTTATGGCTCAGAAAAATCTGTATCTTGGTGCTGCATTTAAGTGGGGCAGCATACATATGGTGTGATATTTTGTAACCCCAATTCATCTTGCATGCGTGTGTGTATATATGTTGTGTGTGTATATATATAATATATATTGTGTGTGTGTGTGTGTGTAATTAAACCAAGTGATCATAGTATATTAGGTTATATATCATTATATTTTATAATTGTTTACATCAAAGTGAATCACTTATCTTAAATTAAAGTCATTTTCTTCCTAAAGAACTTAATTTCTTCTAGTCCATTGTTATAATCAAACTGGTACCAAGGTTTTACTAAATAATTATCGTATCTTACGAATATACTTTTTGTTTACTTTTGTCATAACTAGAAAAGAAATGATTTGTGCACGCCTGTTGTAAACATCATGTTTATTTTTTACCTTTAAAATGAAAAAATCACATAAGAATCAAGAGATATAAATAAATAGGTATGCAAAAAAAAATTAAAAAATTTATGTATATTGTTGCATAAGCACTGTAAGCTAATTATACCTACATTTAGTGTATATTCACGCACCAGTTTATTGTAAGAAAATAAAATACCATAGTAAAGTAGGATATTAGGTACCATAAAAGAATTTATTTTTATTCATTCACCAAAAGAGTTTGACTCTCACTTTATAAGAAAACAATTGTTAGGTTCACTCTCCATGTCGTATCAGTACTTTCTTTAATTTACTGAATCCTATTCCTAAACAGGCAGAAAAAAATCGTGTCTATCCGTATATATGGTAATATACTACGTAGTATATTGGCATACCATTATGACGTTATCATTCCAAGCTCGTGAAAAAGATTTTTTTTGTTTGAGGCCACCTTTAAAAGAAAGGCTTGTATTTGGCCTGTATTTCATTCGATCATTTCCACCATACCTTCACACTCAAAACATGAAGATCCTTACCAGCATTTTGCTTATTTTTTCTCTTGCATTCTTCGTAATCTGCATGTCAATACTAGAACCCCAGAACTTCTACGGCACCGAATACAACATTCGAGTCGTCAACGGCTTCACAAACAACTCGTCCTTGCCGTTGGTGATTTGGTGTGCATCACAGAACAGTGATCTTGGTGGACGTGCGCTTCAGGAGCATGACGATTTTAGCTGGAGCCTGAGGACCAGTCTTTGGGGCACTACTGACCTTTTCAAATGTACCATGAAATGGGACCGAATAAGGAGGAGTTTTGAGGCGTTTAAGGCTTCGAGGGATATTCAGAGGTGCGGTCCTTTTAGGAAGTGTTCTTGGTTGGTCAGAGAAGATGGGTTTTATTTCAGCAATGATGAAGTAAATTGGAAAAAAGATTTTTCATGGTTGTAAGGTATAATTAGTATTTCAGAGCAGTAATTTTTATAATTTGCAAATTGCATGGATCTAGAACTTTAATATAATTTAAAGGGTATTTGTTTCTGGGGTTTCTTTTTTCTCTTTTATATTCGATATTTTCATGTTGCTTTGCTAAGATACAGATGGAAACCACGTTTGCTTTTTGTAAGTTTGGTGCCCCAGAAGGCCAGAATCAGTAATCTGGGTCTTTTGTGGAAAAGAATTTTGCAGAGTTTTTTCCCCCAATATACAACTTTTTTTATCCACTGATTTTTCTTTTATTTTTTTAATCCAAATGCTAGAAATAAACAAACGCACACACGAGAAAAAAAAATGTGTATTAGAAATCACTTCCTTATATGTTAGTGAGGTAGCATTTGAAATATTTTATCCAACATGATCCTCTTTGGATTCTCTTTGTGAGGATCATGAGAATTCGTAAATCATGTTCGTTCATCGTACATCATGCGATCAATTTTTGTCGAGTATTGTTTGTGTTTAATTTTAAATAAAAAATTTTAAATGATTTATGACCTACAATGTACGATGAACAACACGATTCACGAATATCCTGAATTCTCACAAAGAGGATCCGATCAGGATCCGGATTCTTATTTTATGCTAGAAATGACTAGTGGAAATTTGGTTCGTTTATAAATAATAATAATAATAATTTCCTACAGTAATGTAATGAAACAGTACTCTTTTCCGTAAGAAATTGCAATTGAAAATACCACTTAATGGTTATGTTAGTTTGGACTTTTCGTTGCTCCAGTCTTCCTCTGTGGTATTTTGTTTTCTGTCTGCAACTGTACAAGCAACAAAATATCCTATGACCAATCTGTTAGAAAGAAAAAACCAACGAAAAACAAAAGACTATGTGCCAAAACAGATGCTAATTATGATCGCATATTCAAAAGAGTACAATTTCATCTTTACATGCGTGCCATTTATATTTGATTGTTTACATTTGTAGATAGTGGTGAGACTAGCATGGGGTTATTGGTTGTCTTTCCTCTCTCAACAACTTCAAAAACCTCATATTTATTTATTTGTGTATTGAATTTGACCCCTATAAACAGCTAAGAACTAAACTACAACCTGCACATCCTTCTTCTATTTTCTTTAATCATATTTGTTCCTTCTCTCTTCTTGTGAGAGATTCTGTTGTGCGATTCATGTGCTCAATGAGATACTTTAGTTAAAAAGTCTTGATAGTCTTCAATATTAATCCACAGTATCCTGCATCACCCTCAGTAAGCCTCTACATAGATAATAATAGCTATCAATATATGTTGGTATAAACTTTCGGCATATGTTGACAGGAATTGACAGATGTTTACTATGTGCTCGACGAAATAATTCAATAAAGCATTTTTGGATAATATTATATATAACCCCATTATTTTAAAATCCTGACCATGTCACTGTGTGCAGGGTACTGCAGCCCAGCAATATATAGTTGCAAGCTACCAAATTAGTAATTAAACAACACCAATTTTTTTTTCAAATTAGTAATGAACTCTGGGATACATTTTCAAGGGCCTTTACCATGACATTTTCGGATTGCTTCTCTAGCTACGTAAAAAGTACTTATGCTCATAAGTGCTCATGTTATATATTTTTATTAAATATCCAAATGTCTTTTCTTTTGGTGCTTGTCGAGAAAAGTTTTTTATAACCAAAAACACTTTTAAGTTTTTGAATCGAACACAATCAGAAGCCTTTCTCATCGCTGGAAATGTTAGCATACGCTTCTCCAGTAGTTGATTTTCACTTCACGTGAACTCTCATACGCGTCATCATCATATTGCTATGTGTCGATTCAAAACCTTGTGTCTGGCTTAGTGGTACAAAAGCAAGTCTATCTCTCCCACCAATTGCATGCATCACTTATCAGTGCACAAACAAAAGTAACTACAAACAACATTTGGCATGTTCAATCCCAACTACGTACCTTTCAAAGATAGAGACAATTCATTTCTTGCACTATATATCAGGTCTTTCCTTTAATATCCGTATATCAGGTCTTTCCTTTAATATCCGTATTCAAATCAAAAGTTTCTTTCCAACGTTTCTTTCTATCTATCGACTGTTCCCTTCACAGTGTATTTCCACTCCCATAACATAATTCGAGATAATTATCCTTCTCTCAATCATGCATGCTTTGAATACAAGATGCGATAAGTTATGATATCTAAATATTAAAAACCTTAAAATCGATTGAGTATCCGTCTCAATAATACAGCACCAGAATAAACACCCTTTTTGAGATCAAAGAATTTAATTTGTCGGGCAAAATAAGATTTTGTCGCCTATTGTTTTGGTCGACGGATTTTTTTTTTTTTTACAATATTAGTCAGGCAAATATTGTGACATCCCACATCGCCCAGGGGAGTGATCCTTAAATGTATATTCCCATCTCTACCTAGCACGAGGCCTTTTGGGAGTTCACTGGCTTCAGGTTCCGTAGGAACTCCGAAGTTAAGCGAGAAGAAGGCCAGAGCACTCCTAAGATAAATGATTAATGCGAACTACGAATGGCTTGATCCCTGTTTAGGATACGTAGGCAGGTTAACGAGACGTTAGATGCAGCCACGGAACTCGAAGTTAAGCGAGAAGAAGGCCAGAGTACTCCCAAGATAAATGATTAATGCGAACTACGAATGGCTTGATCCCTGTTTAGGATACGTAGGCAGTTTAACGAGATGTTAGATGCAGCCATATAAGAAATGAGATTAAATAATCGAGACAATAGCCTTGTTTAAGGAATTGAGCAATAGGTGTGGGCTTTTAGTTTTAGGAATATATGTATACACTTGATGGTTTTCCCAGAAAATGCAATTATATGATTTATGCTTTAAAAATGCCATGCCTATTGAATAATACATAAACGATGAGTTGAATTGGTTGCATATATATATAATTGTGGTGCTATGAACGCTCTGAAGTGCAAAGGTGAATGCAGGACACACAGGTAAGTTCAGGTAAGTTAGGTAAACTCAAGTAAGTATACGGTATTAGATGATTAATGAGATATGTGATGAGATATGAATATGTTGTATTGGTCACTAGAGGTGACTCCGACTTATATGCTAGCCATGATTAATGAGATATGTGATGAGATATGAATATGTCGTATAGGTCACTAGAGGTAACTCCAACTTATATGCTAGCCATGATTGATGCGATATGTGATGAGATATGAATATGCCGTATAGGTCACTAGAGGTGACTCCGACCTATATGCTAGCCATGATTAATGATATATGTGATGAGATATGAATATGTCTTATATGTCACTAGAGGTGACTCCGACTTATATGCTAGCCATGATTGATGAGATATGTGATGAGATTTGAATATGTCGTATAGGTCACAAGAGGTGACTCCGACTTAGATGCTAGCATATATGTGATGATATATGATGAATTGCTAGTATATATTTATGATGGGAGATGTGATGAAATGCTAGCATATATGTAATGAATATATCGGATGAGCTAGCATGTGTGGTGAACGCAGGATGAGTGGGCAGACGTGATGAATATGCGATGAGTTAGCATATGATTATAAATATGTGAAGCATGACTTGAATTGATTTATATATATATATATATATATATATATATATATATATATATATATATATATATATATATATATATATATGTATAATTCTATATTCTAAACTTTTTAGAAATTATACATGTGTTGTAGCGAGGGGTTATAGAAATTTATATGGTTCCTATTAAAATTTTAATTACTGGGCCAATCACCTTTGTCTTGTCTTCACCCTCCAAGTCTTTTTTTAGCTGAGCTTTCTTATCGTCAAGGAATCGTGGCGATTCTTAGTATTGAAGATCATTCAAGGGTACGATTCTTAATTTACTCTTCTGTACTTGCTTATGCTCTAACGTCACGTGTGAAGTGGGTTCATTCCCGCTCACTAGTGCACTTTGGTATTTAGGCACTCTTAGGTTTAAATTTATTCATAATATTTTCACGTTATCACACTTTATGACTTCGTCACCTTCCAGGTATCGGCCAACACAGCCCGATTCAGAGACCTAATGGATATTCCGGGTCGGGGTGTGTCAGTTTGGTATCAGAGCATAAATTGGGCAGTATTGCATTCATCACACACGTGATGTGAGCATTTTTGGCTCGAGTCTAATGTTTGAATCTTGCCACCTCTTCGAATACGGAAAATTTGTTAGTTGTTTCTAAATTTTGAGCAAAAATTTGAGGGCTTGGAAACCTGGGAGCTTAATTGGTTTTATGATGTTTACTTGAAGAGCATGTGGAGATTTTGGGGAAAATATCTGATGAGGATTTCGGTGGTTGTATCATGAAAATAGTTATATAGCATAGAAGGGAATTTTTCAATCAGCTCTAATTTCCCAGATTATGCTTTTGTTGTTATACTTATTAAATGGGTGAGAATAGGCTTGCGAATGTAAGTTTTCATATCCTGGGAGTTGTAGAAATCTGAAAGGCAGTCATCCAATCCTCCTAGGATCAATGAACTACTTCGCTTGAGTCTATAATCTAGGATCGTGAAAGCTTAGGATTAAGCTTTGTATTAGAATAGTTAACTCATAGTTGTTTTCACCTTATCACCTACCTAAGTAAACGAAATCTCTTCGACTAGCCACCTCTCAATCACTTCCATAGGTAAACAGTAAAATCGAGGTATGTGTTAATATCTCGCTGTTAGAGTGATTTGAATTTCGAGAAAATTGTGAAGACCTTTAGTACGTGTCGTAGAGTTGGTTAGTAGTATTGTACGTTTTAAGGGCGTGTACTTTTGGCGTCATATCCTACCATCTTACCTGGGATATCACCAAATTGCAAAATGAGGTACATCACCGAGGAAAGTTAAATTAGAGTGGGTGTTGGAAATGACTAAAATTTCTGACAACTGAGGTGTTGTCTCATCTTACCCCTATTTTTTTACACCTCCACTGACCTAGAGTATAAAGTTGATGATTGGATATTTTTAAAGTTATCACCACGGAAATGAGTAGTAAGGTTCGGGAAAAAGGGTTAGTTAAGTCCTAGGTACATCGGACCGTACCGGATCCAGAACGAATCAATGAAATTGCTTACAAGTTTGAGTTGCCTCCAGAGTTGTCTAAAGTACACAATGTTTTTCATGTTTCTATACTTCCCC